TACCACAAATACAATCAAGTACTTTTACTGTGTACTATTTGAGTAATCCTTTGTCAAACTCCACCCCTGAGTACAATAATGCATGTTTTCTGCCATCTTTGATGAGAGATAAAATGATTTTGTGCAATAAGTTCTTAATGTAATTGGAACTGTTGGATTCAGTACTACTTGGACTACTACCAAAAGTACAATCAAGTACTTTTACTGTGTACTTTTTGAGTAATCCTTTGTCAAACTCCACCCCTGAGTACAATAATGCATGTTTTCTGCCATCTTTGATGAGAGATAAAAGGATTTTGTGCAATAAGTTCTTAATGTAATTGTTACTGTTGGATTCAATACTACTTGGACTACTACCAAAACTACAATCAAGTATTTTTACTGTGTACTTTTTGAGTAATCCTTTGTCAAACTCCACCCCTGAGTACAATAATGCATGTTTTCTGCCATCTTTGATGAGAGATCAAATGATTTTGTGCAATAAGTTCTTAATGTAATTGGTACTGTTGGATTCAGTACTACTTGGACTACTACCAAAACTACAATCAAGTATTTTTACTGTGTACTTTTTGAGTAATCCTTTGTCAAATTCCACCCCTGAGTACAATAATGCATGTTTTCTGCCATCTTTGATGAGAGATAAAATGATTTTGTGCAATAAGTTCTTAATGTAATTGGTACTGTTGGATTCAGTACTACTTGGACTACTACCAAAACTACAATCAAGTATTTTTACTGTGTACTTGTTGAGTAATCCTTTGTCTAACTCCACCCCTGAGTACAATAATGCATGTTTTCTGCCATCTTTGATGAGAGATCAAATGATTTTGTGCAATAAGTTCTTAATGTAATTGGTACTGTTGGATTCAGTACTACTTGGACTACTACCAAAACTACAATCAAGTATTTTTACTGTGTACTTTTGAGTAATCCTTTGTCAAACTCCACCCCTGAGTACAATAATGCATGTTTTCTGCCATCTTTGATGAGAGATAAAATGATTTTGTGCAATAAGTTCTTAATGTAATTGGTACTGTTGTATTCAGTACTATTTGGACTACTACCAAAAGTACAATCAAGTACTTTTACTGTGTACTTTTTGAGTAATCCTTTGTCAAACTCCACGCCTGAGTACAATAATGCATGTTTTCTGCCATCTTTGATGAGGGATCAAATTATTTTTAGCCATAAGTTCTTAATAAAATTTGTACTGTTGGACTCAGTACATGTTAGACTACTACCACAAATACAATCAAGTACTTTTACTGTGTACTATTTGAGTAATCCTTTGTCAAACTCCACCCCTGAGTACAATAATGCATGTTTTCTGCCATCTTTGATGAGAGATAAAATGATTTTGTGCAATAAGTTCTTAATGTAATTGGAACTGTTGGATTCAGTACTACTTGGACTACTACCAAAAGTACAATCAAGTACTTTTACTGTGTACTTTTTGAGTAATCCTTTGTCAAACTCCACCCCTGAGTACAATAATGCATGTTTTCTGCCATCTTTGATGAGAGATAAAAGGATTTTGTGCAATAAGTTCTTAATGTAATTGTTACTGTTGGATTCAATACTACTTGGACTACTACCAAAACTACAATCAAGTATTTTTACTGTGTACTTTTTGAGTAATCCTTTGTCAAACTCCACCCCTGAGTACAATAATGCATGTTTTCTGCCATCTTTGATGAGAGATCAAATGATTTTGTGCAATAAGTTCTTAATGTAATTGGTACTGTTGGATTCAGTACTACTTGGACTACTACCAAAACTACAATCAAGTATTTTTACTGTGTACTTTTTGAGTAATCCTTTGTCAAATTCCACCCCTGAGTACAATAATGCATGTTTTCTGCCATCTTTGATGAGAGATAAAATGATTTTGTGCAATAAGTTCTTAATGTAATTGGTACTGTTGGATTCAGTACTACTTGGACTACTACCAAAACTACAATCAAGTATTTTTACTGTGTACTTTTCGAGTAATCCTTTGTCAAACTCCACCCCTGAGTACAATAATGCATGTTTTCTGCCATCTTTGATGAGAGATAAAATGATTTTCTGCAATAAGTTCTTAATGTAATTGGTACTGTTGGATTCAGTACTACTTGGACTACTACCAAAACTACAATCAAGTATTTTTACTGTGTACTTTTTGAGTAATCCTTTGTCAAACTCCACCCCTGAGTACAATAATGCATGTTTTCTGCCATCTTTGATGAGAGATAAAATGATTTTGTGCAATAAGTTCTTAATCTAATTGGTACTGTTGGATTCAGTACTACTTGGACTACTACCAAAACTACAATCAAGTATTTTTACTTTGTACTTTTTGAGTAATACTCTGTCAAACTCCCCTCCAGAGTACAATAATGCATGTTTTCTGCCCTCTTTGATGAGAGATAAAAGGATTTTTAAAAATAAGTTCTTAGTGAAATTGATACTGTTGAACTCAGTACTACTTGGACTAGTAGCACAAGTACAATCAAGTACTTTTACTATGTACTTTTTGAGTAATCCCCTGTCAAACTCCCCTCCAGAGTACAATAATGCATGTTTTCTGCCCTCTTTGATGAGAGATAAAATGATTTTGTGCAATAAGTTCTTAATGTAATTGGTACTGTTGGATTCATTACTACTTGGACTACTACCAAAACTACAATCAAGTATTTTTACTGTGTACTTTTTGAGTAATCCTTTGTCAAACTCCACCCCTGAGTACAATAATGCATGTTTTCTGCCATCTTTGATGAGAGATAAAATGATTTTGTGCAATAAGTTCTTAATGTAATTGGTACTGTTGGATTCAGTACTACTTGGACTACTACCATAAGTACAATCAAGTACTTTTACTGTGTACTTTTTGAGTAATCCTTTGTCAAACTCCACGCCTGAGTACAATAATGCATGTTTTCTGCCATCTTTGATGAGAGATAAAAGGATTTTTTGCAATAAGTTCTTAATAAAATTGGTACAGTTGGATTCAGTACTACTTGGACTACTACCAAAAGTACAATCAAGTACTTTTACTGTGTACTTTTTGAGTCTTGTAATGCGCTGTTGAGGAACCTGCGACCCAAGTTGTGTATATGATCAATACACCTTAGAAAATCTTGAAATCTTGAAAGGAATGTGCAAAAGAGCCATTATACAGTTTTTAATTAACTATTAGTAGAGAATAACGAGTAATGAATACTTTATAGAGATCTGCAGATAAATGTTTCGTCTTCTCAAGCACCACCTATCAAATATCTCTCCTGATTGTTGGCACTTGACAATCACCTTCCCTGAATTTCACTCAGGTGTAACTAAAGTCTGCTTTAAGGGTTGTTTATATTTCACATCATTAATCAGAATCTGCAAAGTAACTAAACTAAATGTAGTGGAGTAAAAATACCAGGTTAACCTCTGATTTGTAGTGGAGAATTACAAAGTAACAATGAGCTGTCATGTGGGTATATATTAATGCTGCACATTATGGATACAAGCGATTTTCACCCATTTAGTAATTACATGTTTTAAATGTGTACACACCAATGTGTTTCCTATCGCCTAAACCTCCAGGGCTGTACACAGTTTAATACTGGCAACTTCTAATTTTTGGAAAAACGTCTTTTAAAACTACAATTCCCAGTAGATACGTGCCATAGAGAACATGTTGCGAAACACAATAGCCAGCATGTGTATTTCTCGGGGGGCGTTCGAGTCCAGTTTTGAATAGTCTGCCGTGGTTTCGTTCCATTTCAAAGAGCTTGACGCTCGGCGTAACCTTGGCGCACTGCCACTCCAACATCACAGGGTTTGTCAACGGGACTGTAGTCCCAAACGATAGCTGGGGATTATGGGTAGTGTAGTATCTTTGGCCATCCTAAATCTCGAAATGTCCCGTCTGTTTCTGGTGACTTTATTTACGGCTAAAAAGCCCAAGATTATAGAATTAAACGAATAAATAAAAACAAGGATAATTGTGTGTTATTGTTGAGTAAATAACAGTGTGTTATTTAGAAAAGAATAACAAATTAGAAGGAAAAGATTAAAAAAATACAGATTTCAGTATTTTGAGGCTCTAAGCCCCATTTATTTTCCTCACAGACGACAAAAAAAGTCCGACATTATACGATTTAAAATAAAAACAAATAAATAAAAAGATAAAAGACTGGCATGCAATTTACGTTAGAATAAATAGAATGGTTTTGAATAATAGATGATAGTCAAATCTACGTCACTTTACAGCCCCGCCCACTTTTGGGGAAACCAACGCTGTCATTTGAACAGCGATCAAGCCTGAAGCCACAGAGATCTTCTTTTACTGTCCTTTCTTCTTCGAGGAAGCACAGAAACACGTAACTCTGGATTTGTTTTAATGTTTGAGGTGCAATAAATGACACAGCAGCTTTTTGTCATGTTAAAGCTATTATTTTCTGCCTCGCTCATGAGATTAACAGCTGGCGAAATGACAGCCTTGCCTACTGATTTTAATGTAACCATATATCGAGCCCGATTGTCGATTTCAAAGGTGTGCTCTAAAATGATATTTATAAATGACTATTATCATTATTATAAGCAAGACAATAAATGGCAAAGATATGTAGAAAATAAACGTATTTAAGATACGTTCATAACGAACGTAACGTGGGAGAAAATACGTTTCTAGCTAAACGTAATTGAGAATGCAGTTTAGTTCTGTGGGAACGTAATTTTTAGGAGACATGGTTGCAAAAATTATACATGTGTTATACATCCAGAAATATCGAAATATCGTTTCCCACAGTGTGACATGTATACATAAAACAAAAAGGGCCTAGATAACCGGGGTATACCATTTAAAATGTTAATATATTTAAAGTGTTCAAAGTGCAGTTTCAGTGCAAGTCAGTTGAAACGATCTTAAGTTGGCGTGACGTTGAAGTCGTGCGACCCTGCTGCTGTACTGGCTTGTAGTTCGTTTATAGCATAACGTTAGCATTTCGCTTTTGGCGACTAGATTTATGATTCAAAAATGATAAAAGTAGGGTAGACATGTGGAGATTATCCGGCTGAACAAAACGTGATCCCTCTCTTAAATGTGTGTCAACCACAGACCTTATTTCCAGCTATTTTCCAAAATCCTATGGAGAATTTGCATTGGTTTTTCACGAAGGAACTGGAAGAAGTTTACTTCCGGGTTTTACCACGCGTCACTGCGGTTCTCTATACCTGTCAATTAGTGCTTCCATGGACCTCATCTGTAATGGAAGCTCGTCGAGGGTACGTATATTTGTATTTCAACAGAAAAGTAGTTATATACATAATTGTGTTCGAAAATAAAACACAAATGTTTATATTAATTGTTTATAGTTCTGATTTGACTTTATTTTAAGTCAAATCATAACTATTATATGTAGTTTAATCATTTTTATTTAGGTGGTCGCTCAGTTTTTCAAATGTACACCATTCAGCTCCTCCAGCACCCCTACTTCCCGCGGCACCCGACACACTGAACTCACATGTTGTTTAACAGATGACACGTTTGTAAACAAAAACCCTGCTGGGGGACTGGGTGATACATTATCTTTTAAAATTGTATGAACATGTCCAAATTTAAGAATCCCCATAGAAATTGTCAACGGACAAACTGTTTTCTCAAGATGTACATGTATTATTATTTTTTTTAAATAAGAAAAAAACAGTGTTCTTGTTTATTACAGGTTATAAAGTTATACTTTTATAAAATGTATGGACAACATTTTAAAAAGTGCTGGGGACATCCCCAGCTTAAATGACACCTATGAATATATCCCTCTGTCCTTTCAGTGCAAATCGACATAGCATAGGCAACAAATCAGAAGTCAGGGAATCAAGCTAATTAATTAAAAAAGTCTAAACTGAGTGAAAAGTCTAACTATAAATAATAGATTTTAACTTGTTATGTCTTTTCAGAGTCTTGGTTTTCTCAACGTTTGGGAAGGCAAGTGTTTCTTATTTGTCACACAATTGTAATTGCATTAAAAAATTCAATGATTTCTCAAATGTCATATTTTTTTACAAAGAAATGACGGAACTTTGACATTTCAATTTCAGACAAGAAAAATAACAATAACAAAAGAAGTCCTTTTGGCTGTCACTGACAAGCTTCGAGCCACAACCAAAACAAAAGACAACGATGAAGGTGACGAGAAAGACACTTTCTGGGGCGAGGTGTGTCAGGAGCTTGGAATATCCGATTCCAAGACCAATAGGACACGGCTTCATCATGCCTATAATCATCATAAAAAGGTACATTTTTTATAAATATTGCACTAATATTGATTCTTATTTCTGCTTTGCTTTTATCTTCATCATCAGTCTGCCTGTGTGAACAACTTTAATTTGGATGTGCTATAATATTTTATATTATTTGATTAATAATTACATCTTTGGATTTCATTTGCTCCTTGTCATGTGCAGATGAGACACAAGACACAGATGGTGACCGCAGCACCTGCCAGCCCATCGACAGACAGTGACCACACGGCCTGCCCCATCGACAGTGACCACAGTTCCACTGACATTGACCGCACAGTGCCTGCTACCCCATCGTCGGTTAGACAGGCATTCACAGAGACGAGTGAACCAGAAGACGTTTCAGAGGTAAATATCGCATATTAGCACGTAGTTAGTGTTAGTGTGTTATGAAACATGCACACTACTGTGTGGAGTGAAATTATAGTTAGTCCCAAATAAACAATTTCAGATATATTGATTCATATCAGTAAAGAGTCATTCCAACTTTGGTCACTTTCGCTAATATGTTTTCATTGTGTTTTACAGTGTAATTCATCAGGGACATATGACTCCTCATCACACTCAAAAGATGGGCAACTCTTACACTCATTTAAATTGCCTTCAAATCCTTCATTTTTTTTTGTCACTAAAAGTGACTGGAAGAAACGGAGGATGAGACAACATAAGCGTCGATTCAAATCTTTAAACTGGACTTCAGTCATGGCCACTGGCATCCGGAGTGTCCACCCACACTGTTGCTTTGTCTTCAAATCTCACAGTGTGCGAACAGTTGGGTCAAAAAGGAAAGGGTCACTTTTTTCATGTGTTGGCTACTGTCGATTTGATGACTGTCCTGTGGAGGTCGAAGTTGACATTGAGGATGAGTCATCCCTTAAGGCAGTTGTGACCTTCAGAGGTGAAAAAGCATGGCACAACTGTGAAGAACTCAAACATCGGCCTGTGCGTGCAGATGAAAGGGATGCACTTGCTAATGCCCTCACCAGCAAACTTCCCAGAAGTGTGTACCTTGATAAGCTCAATAAACTGGATGACACTGTGTTGGCTTCTGGAAACAGAGACCAGGTACCATCAACTGGTGTGATGAAAACATTGTCCTGGCAGGCAAGAAAGAAGCTGAGAAAACACAGCAATGAAATGATCAGCCTCAGAAAAATGATGGAGGAAGAGCTTGAGACTGAGGAAGCAGTCATTAAAAAAATTATAGCACACCCCAAAGGAGTCATGCTATGGTCCAACAAAACAATTGACCTCTTCCATGACAGGTGCAGGGAAGACATTGTATATGTGGATGCGACACGGAGCATTGTTAAAAAGGCAAAAGGGAAAACCTCACCTTTTTATGTGTATGAGATGGTGGTCCGAAATCCGTTCAAAGGATCCTCCCCTGTCCCTGTGGCCACCTACATCACAAACGACCACACAATAGCCTCCATATCCTTTTTCCTTGGGTCATTTCTGACTGATGTAATAAGACTCCATGGAAGGGGAGCCAAAAAAAGACCTGTCATGCTGATCTGTGATGGCTCTACAGTCCTCATGGAGTCCATGGCCTATAATTTCTGTGGAGTCAGCCTCCAGGAACTTCTCTCCATGTACTACAGCATCGTATCTGGACAGGCAAAGCATGATTGTACTTTTAGTAGTAGTCCAAGTAGTACTAAATCCAACAGTACCAATTTCATTAAGAACTTATTGCACAAAATCCTTTTATCTCTCATCAAAGATGGCAGAAAACATGCATTATTGTACTCTGGAGGGGAGTTTGACAGGGGATTACTCAAAAAGTACACAGTAAAAGTACTTGATTGTACTTTTAGTAGTAGTCCAAGTAGTACTGAATCCAACAGTACCAATTTCATTAAGAACTTATTGCACAAAATCATTTCATCTCTCATCAAAGATGGCAGAAAACATGCATTATTGTACTCAGGGGTGGAGTTTGACAAAGGATTACTCTAAAAGTACACAGTAAAAATACTTGATTGTACTTGTGATACTAGTCCAAGTAGTACTGAATTCAACAGTACCAATTTTATTAAGAACTTATTGCACAAAATCCTTTTATCTCTCATCAAAGATGGCAGAAAACATGCATTATTGTACTCAGGGGTGGAGTTTGACAAAGGATTACTCAAAAAGTACACAGTAAAAATACTTGATTGTACTTGTGCTACTAGTCCAAGTAGTACTGAATCCAACAGTACCAATTTCACTAAGAACTTATTGCAAAAAATCATTTTATCTCTCATCAAAGATAGCAGAATACATTATGTTGTGTACTCAGGACAGGAGTTTAAACAAGTATTACTTAAAAAGTACACAGTAAAAGTACTTGATTGTACTTTTAGTAGTAGTCCAAGTAGTACTGAATCCAACAGTACAAATTTCATTAAGAACTTATTTCACAAAATCATTTTATCTCTCATCAAATATGGCAGAAAACATGCATTATTGTACTCTGGAGGGGAGTTTGACAGGGGATTACTCAAAAAGTACACAGTAAAAGTACTTGATTGTACTTTTAGTAGTAGTCCAAGTAGTACTGAATCCAACAGTACCAATTTCATTAAGAACTTATTGCACAAAATCATTTAATCTCTCATCAAAGATGGCAGAAAACATGCATTATTGTACTCTGGAGGGGAGTTTGACAGGGGATTACTCAAAAAGTACACAGTAAAAGTACTTGATTGTACTTTTAGTAGTAGTCCAAGTAGTACTGAATCCAACAGTACCAATTTCATTAAGAACTTATTGCACAAAATCCTTTTATCTCTCATCAAAGATGGCAGAAAACATGCATTATTGTACTCAGGGGTGGAGTTTGACAAAGGATTACTCAAAAAGTACACAGTAAAAATACTTGATTGTACTTGTGCTACTAATCCAAGTAGTACTGAATCCAACAGTACCAATTTCACTAAGAACTTATTGCAAAAAATCATTTTATCTCTCATCAAAGATAGCAGAATACATTATTTTGTGTACTCAGGACAGGAGTTTAAACAAGTATTACTTAAAAAGTACACAGTAAAAGTACTTGATTGTACTTTTAGTAGTAGTCCAAGTAGTACTGAATCCAACAGTACAAATTTCATTAAGAACTTATTTCACAAAATCATTTTATCTCTCATCAAATATGGCAGAAAACATGCATTATTGTACTCTGGAGGGGAGTTTGACAGGGGATTACTCAAAAAGTACACAGTAAAAGTACTTGATTGTACTTTTAGTAGTAGTCCAAGTAGTACTGAATCCAACAGTACCAATTTCATTAAGAACTTATTGCACAAAATAATTTAATCTCTCATCAAAGATGGCAGAAAACATGCATTATTGTACTCTGGAGGGGAGTTTGACAGGGGATTACTCAAAAAGTACACAGTAAAAGTACTTGATTGTACTTTTAGTAGTAGTCCAAGTAGTACTGAATCCAACAGTACCAATTTCATTAAGAACTTATTGCACAAAATCCTTTTATCTCTCATCAAAGATGGCAGAAAACATGCATTATTGTACTCAGGGGTGGAGTTTGACAAAGGATTACTCAAAAAGTACACAGTAAAAATACTTGATTGTACTTGTGCTACTAATCCAAGTAGTACTGAATCCAACAGTACCAATTTCACTAAGAACTTATTGCAAAAAATCATTTTATCTCTCATCAAAGATAGCAGAATACATTATTTTGTGTACTCAGGACAGGAGTTTAAACAAGTATTACTTAAAAAGTACACAGTAAAAGTACTTGATTGTACTTTTAGTAGTAGTCCAAGTAGTACTGAATCCAACAGTACAAATTTCATTAAGAACTTATTTCACAAAATCATTTTATCTCTCATCAAATATGGCAGAAAACATGCATTATTGTACTCTGGAGGGGAGTTTGACAGGGGATTACTCAAAAAGTACACAGTAAAAGTACTTGATTGTACTTTTAGTAGTAGTCCAAGTAGTACTGAATCCAACAGTACCAATTTCATTAAGAACTTATTGCACAAAATCCTTTTATCTCTCATCAAAGATGGCAGAAAACATGCATTATTGTACTCAGGGGTGGAGTTTGACAAAGGATTACTCAAAAAGTACACAGTAAAAATACTTGATTGTACTTGTGCTACTAATCCAAGTAGTACTGAATCCAACAGTACCAATTTCACTAAGAACTTATTGCAAAAAATCATTTTATCTCTCATCAAAGATAGCAGAATACATTATTTTGTGTACTCAGGACAGGAGTTTAAACAAGTATTACTTAAAAAGTACACAGTAAAAGTACTTGATTGTACTTTTAGTAGTAGTCCAAGTAGTACTGAATCCAACAGTACAAATTTCATTAAGAACTTATTTCACAAAATCATTTTATCTCTCATCAAATATGGCAGAAAACATGCATTATTGTACTCTGGAGGGGAGTTTGACAGGGGATTACTCAAAAAGTACACAGTAAAAGTACTTGATTGTACTTTTAGTAGTAGTCCAAGTAGTACTGAATCCAACAGTACCAATTTCATTAAGAACTTATTGCACAAAATCATTTAATCTCTCATCAAAGATGGCAGAAAACATGCATTATTGTACTCTGGAGGGGAGTTTGACAGGGGATTACTCAAAAAGTACACAGTAAAAGTACTTGATTGTACTTTTAGTAGTAGTCCAAGTAGTACTGAATCCAACAGTACCAATTTCATTAAGAACTTATTGCACAAAATCCTTTTATCTCTCATCAAAGATGGCAGAAAACATGCATTATTGTACTCAGGGGTGGAGTTTGACAAAGGATTACTCAAAAAGTACACAGTAAAAATACTTGATTGTACTTGTGCTACTAATCCAAGTAGTACTGAATCCAACAGTACCAATTTCACTAAGAACTTATTGCAAAAAATCATTTTATCTCTCATCAAAGATAGCAGAATACATTCTTTTGTGTACTCAGGACAGGAGTTTAAACAAGTATTACTTAAAAAGTACACAGTAAAAGTGCTTGATTGTACTCGTGGTAGTAGTCCAAGTAGTACAGAATTCAGCATAACCGATTTTATTAAGAACTCATTGCAAAAAATGATTGTATCTCTCATCAAAGAGGGCAGAAAACATGCATTATTGTACTCTGGAGGGGAGTTTGACAGAGTATTACTCAAAAAGTACACAGTAAAAGTACTTGATTGTATTTGTGGTAGTAGTCTAACATGTACTGAGTCCAACAGTACCAATTTTATTAAGAACTTATGGCTAAAAATAATTTGATCCCTCATCAAATATCATTGATTGATTGATCAAATATAGCATAAGCACTTTTACTATCGTCAGCGCCACTTCTCGGCGATTACCGTAAAGACGCTATTAATCGCGCACTCAAAAATGAAGCGCTGCTCATTTGACCAAGCAAATGCGAGAGACGGCTGAGTTGACCGCAGTACTTTACACCAGTGGGAGAGGCAGAACTGCTCTTTCTTTTCAACATAACTTAAGTTACACATGATTTCTTCCAAGTGGTTTGGCTTGTTAAAAACATCTTGCATTATGATACAGGAATTTGCTGGCTTTGTGTTTACAGAACTGACTATGCCGGACTTTTGTGCAGCCTACGGATGCTCTAATCACCGCAGTCTGCAAACAAGAACCCGTGGGATCACCTTTCACATGTAAGATATGACAATATTATGACTAAAATTAGGATAATCGTTAATTACTTAGTGGATGTATGTACATTACAAGTCCTGCTACACAGGATCAGTGGGGCTATGTGAGATAATAGTATTGCAAGATTGTTGTTGACCCAGCCTCTTTAGAATATGTTGCTACCATTTCTTTACACAATTATTTAATGTTTATTTTGGACACCTTTTTTATTACTCTTAGTGTGGTTGTCTTATTCTTAAAGTAGGCTATACATACATGCAAAAATATGATAATTTCGGTGTGTATTTTTGTCCTTACCCTTAATGTTAAAGGAAAGAAGGGAGGAAAATGTTGACAATAATTTATCTGTCTGGCTACCTTTCTCATGTTTTTAAGGTTTCCCAAAACCGAAGAGAGGAGGAGGTAGTGTTTTGTTTCCTGTTACTGCAGTTTCGCACTTCAGGAGTGAGGAATTTGACCGGACAGGGCAGACTGTCCGGCTTAAAGATGGTGTTGTGCCAACAATATTCAACTTCCCAGCTCATCTTCAAAGGGTATGTGTATCATTGGCCAACAACAATGCAAGGTGTATAAGATTGATATATAAATATGTGATTAAATGTCACACTTTAGTTTTTCTTTCTGCAAGTTTAGGAATAAATAATGTGTTGTGTATTACAGCACATTTTAAACACTCAACATGTCTTTAATGTTTATTTTAGCCGGAAGCAACAAGAAGCACAACCACTTCAAGAAGAGCGGATGATGAACCTCAGCCTAATGTTGTGAGTATTCTGAATGTGGCCAAGACCAGAGAGATGGTCATTGATTTCAGGAGGGTGAGGACGTCTCTTCTACCCCTGTGCATTCTGGGAGAGGATGTGGCTGTTGTGGAGGACTCCAAATACCTGGGAGTGCACTTAGACAATGGGCTGAACTGGAGGATCAACACTGACGCTGTGCACAAGAAGGGATATTAGAAGAAGGATATTTATTTCCATATTACTATTATTTATATATTCGTATATTTTGCCAAAGCAACAGGGAGCCACTGGAGAGAGGCGAAAGAGCCGCAAGCGGCAGGGCACTGACCACCCATATGCATTGCCTGCTTGCCCCGAGGCTATAAAGGCCAAACTCAACGGAGCCTCAGCGAGTTTGAGGAAACTGCAGCGGGAGAAGACCAATGCCTTGGCGAGAGAAAGGAGGGCCAAGAAAAACATGCAGGCTCTTCTGGAGGAACTGAAGGAGAAAAATCTCATAAACGAAGAGCTGAAAGACAAGCTTGAATGCTACTCAGGTAAAATAAAAAATATTGCATTGAATATTTTGTGTATTTTATGTTCTTTGTTAGACTTCCTAGTTACTATTAAAAGGAGACATACTAAATCACTTTTGCTAATTGAATTTCAGATCTTCCCGTTCACCTCCTGTCGAGGCAGGGTGTAGAGTACACCAAGGCCCAGAGAGATTTTGCTCTTACGCTCCATCTGCATGGTCCAAAGGCATATCACTACCTGAGAGACACTCTGCATATTCACCTCCCACATCCCAGTTCATTGCAAAGGTATTCTTCATGATGTCTAATTTTAAACTACATTAAGCACTACAGACTGTATTATCAGGAATGGTTAAACTTACTGATATAACAGCTCATGTCTCATGCTGATACATTTTGATATTGTAGCTATTTTTAGTATGTCCAGTGTCTACAATAGGGACTGGGTAAGTGGTTAAATGGCTACTTTTTAATTTTACTAAGGTGGCTGAGCTCTCTTGATGCCAAACCTGGTCTCAACAAAATGATGTTGGACATGCTGGAAAGACGGCGTCAGGAAGATGAGGCCAAGTACGGAAGTGTCACTCTGATGCTGGATGCCATGGCCATCAAAAAGCACGTCCAATATGATCCTCAGACACAAACAATGTCTGGATTTGTGGACATGGGGGATCGAATTAATGAGACTGACATTGCTTCTGAGGCTCTTGTGTTTATGGTGGTTGGGCTTCAAGGTTATTGGAAAGCTCCAATTGCTTATTATTTGACCAAGTCCCTCACACCAGAAACACAGAAAGTCTTGCCATGTATCACCGTGTGTCTTATTGGTTTTGTGTTATACTGTATTTTATTGTGTGCAGCTGGTCCGTATCTCCAAGACACATTTAAAACAAATAACCTTGAACCTTGAAGCCCCATCTTTCCCCACCTGCTCCTGCTTCCTACATCCCCTCCACACCACACCAAGTTGTTCTTCTTAATAATAATAATAATACATTTATTTTGGGAGGCCGCCTTTCCCAAGGACCCAAGGACACCATAGGGGCAATATAGGGAACAATTTAAACAGTGGATTTTGTGATATATCAGCCGGGGTGAGACAAGACAAACCACAAATGGACTACAGAAGGACACAAAAGGACACATGGTACAGTTTATATTATTCTTGGTCTTTTTTCAATAACATATTTCAAAGGTTCTGGATTTGTTTACAAATCTAGAAACTAAATACAAAACTAGTATAGTAATATGGAGATCTCATGTCAAAAATAATTGTGATAAATTAGACAGAACTGGCCTGTCTGTGAGCACATTTTATGTTGGTTTGGTTCTTCTGATAAAGGTGTGAATATCTAAATAATATACCACCATATGCTATTGTCATTAGTTGTGTCCCTGTTCTTAAAGCTAAGGCATTGCTAAATTAACAACTCTTGGCTTACAGAGTGGTAACATGAGACCGATTTTTATATATAAAATATAAATGTATTTTAATTTTATAATTTATTTTAAATATTAACAATATAATAAAATAAATGGAAATATATACACCGGCAAATATTTAATATAAATACCTTGTGTGTGTGTGTGTATAGCTATTGCTTTATCTGATTAATGTTATTTTCATATGAAAGTCCATGATTATAAGTATGCAGTATCATAACTACATCTTTGATGTTTATAAAAAACCAAACAGTTTGAAAATTGGTTGAAAATTGAGCAAGCTATGGTTATTTAAAAGGTAAACCATAATGTTATGAATGAGAGAACTCCCTGTAGCAAGATGGCGGCCAAGTGGCAACGTCGGTCTCCATTGGCCAGCAGCGCGGGTGAGTCATCTAGTGTTTATATATATCTATGGCTATAACTGCCGAAGATGAAGTCTATGACGCTATCCCGTAGAGCTACGTTCTTGCGTAATGCGGAGGTGGGCGTGGTTACATCTAAACTGGGTTGGAAAAACGATAGACGCGGCCCGGAGGCGTCTATCGTTTTTCCAACCCAGTTTAGATCCCATTTCCGCATTACGCAAGCATCGACGCGAAGTTACGCAAGCATTGACGCGAAGTTACGTCACAGGATCAACCTGGCGTTACATCCCTATGGTCAGAGCCCTAGAGAGATAAGTATCTCTAGGGCTCTGCCTATGGTTACATCACTGCCTCACGCGGCACACCCGTGAAATCTGAATCTGACAAGCGAAATAGCGTCATTTTAAACGCCGCATAATATACAATATACAATATAATAGTGCTTCTTTGTCAATATGACTGACGACCACACTATGCAGCGCTGAGATAATGTTAATTCATCATTTAATATTAATTCCTGATGGATATATCATATAAGAGTTACTATCATTTTGTTTGTCATGTAACATATTAACGTTTTGACCTTCTGTTTAGGATGTAAAGGTATCTATTTAATATTTTATTTAAAGGTATACATTTATAATATGTTATAAATGTCTATTTTGTATAATACAACATATAACATTTGACATTAATAACATATTAACGTTTTGAGACCATGTAAAAATGAAATGTTGGGACATTTATAAAAATGTATTCCTTTACATAAAAGTGCTTTCCAGAGGTGTAAGAAGTGATAAGATCTTGTACTTGAGCAGGGGCGGACTGGGACCAGACTGGGACACAAATTCAGCCCGGGATGTTCAGACGCACCGGCCCACACACCGGGCCGCCGCCCACGCATGCGGGCCACCCTTGTAGCCTACAGATAAATGATACATCTATACTATGCTCATATACTGTATACTGTTATGGCTAGATTCCCCAGAGTCAAGCCATAACATAAAAGAGATGGACAACAGGAGTAAGGTGCAAAATGAAACCTTCCTTTATGTAGCAGGATAGACTGTTCAGCCCTATCACCACACGGGGCAACCTTTATAAAGAGGGGTCAGTGTCGCTCTTGCTCTTTGGCACGAAGGCCGCTGCGCTGACATGCTTTCTCCGCTGGCACCGGTGAGTTTGCAGTGGCTGCCGTTTGTTGTACACCTAGCATGACAATTAGCCTAAATACTAAATGTATCGCTGGTTGTAGACCCTTGCAGGGATCCTGCAGCCTATGTCTGCTGCCGCTGTAAATCAAGCTCTCCTGCTGTGTGTTTGTCTGAACTTGGCCTGATCGGTAGGTAGACCTTCTGCTAGTATCATTCTTCCTGAATGTTCTTAACCTAGTATTGTTATCGTAACATCACCTTAAACGTAATGTCTGCTAGGCTCTGCACTGGAAGCGTGATAAAGGACTGCTGTTTTGCCTCCACGTCTGTGTTGCATCCACGACTGCTCCAAGTTTACGAGTGTCTTGCCTGCCTGACTGTTGCCTGGACTGCTGGTCTACCCTCACGGCTGTGTCTGTCTGCACCAAGCCCCCAGGAAGTGCGCCGGAGTCTGATGAGAATATTCGTGCTGGTCAAACGGCGGTACTACACTTCCTTTAGGTTGCTGGGCCCGGAAACACTTTTTCCCATTGACTTACATGGGGAAAGAGTGGTCTGTAACTCGTTGGATAATTTGTTTTAAACTAAATAAACTACCCAGTATGAACGTTTGTATAGCCCTTATTAAAAACATTCGGTCCTCAAGTTGTAAAAATGTGCTCATAACGTTATTCTGAGAGTTATTTCCCTCGGCATTATGAACGCACATCTAACCCACGGGACCGCGCCGCCCGGCACGTTCATGTTACGTGTTCAGTACTACATGAGTTTCTCTTTACCCATGGATGCACAATAACAACGGACCATATCGCCTTACTGTCAGCCCACGGAGCTGTAATAATGGATATATTGCACATGTTTGCTGTAATTCATCATTTGTAAAATATTATACTACATGGGCTGTATGATTAAATCTTGTACCGTAAATGTTGTATTAAATAAAGTTAATATTACCGACGTAGATTAACGTTCCTGTAGCTTCTTATTGCACTTGCAATTGTTTTAGTTACTTGTGGGCTACTTAACATGAATAATCACAGTTACTATCCTTTTACTCCATCACATTTCAAAAAGAAATGGGCTATTGTTATTTTAACTCCACCACAGTAATCCATCATCAGCTTTACTTTTTAGATAAAGTTTTAACTCACAATTGATCATAACAGGCTTCAACATATACATTTTTATATATTACCAAGTGGTTTCATGTACAACCCACACAAGTATCATGCTAAATGAAGCTCTGTTGCTTGGATATCACTAGATCCTGATGTCAGCGTAATATAAAAGTACATAACGATTGATGTGTAACTTAGCATAATTGACTAGCTAGCCGCTATCTGCTAACTACCGCCTCGTTAATATAAATCCAGTACCATGCTGTCATGAACGCGCAGTGCTGTTACGTGTACGCAAATTCACGTGCTTAATGTGAACGAGCCTTTTGGGTGGCGTGGTTAAAGTTGCGCATGCTCTATGAGTGCACGTACGGGTACTTCTCAGGCATGCCGGGTAATCTGTGACGTTTCGCTCTCTCAAAAGTTGGGCCATTTTGTCATCATACGCCATTGAGCAACTCTCATAGGAATGAATGAGGCCCCGCCTCCCACGCTGTATCCAGTTCTTATTATACATCCATGGTCTGCACAGCCGGCTTGCCTGCCCTACTGTGCTTCACCGCTACACTACTGTCTGGCGGGTGTTGCTCTTGGCCTACATTGTCTGTACCAGCTTTTTGGTATCACTGTGCCTTTGCTCTTCATTACAGGGCCATATTTTAAACATTGTTATCGCGGACTGTTCGATTAATCTCTGTTCATGATTAGTTATTTCATTGAGTTAAGTTTGTTTTGTTTATTTAATTCTAGATTAAGTAGACTGTTAGGTTGATTTTCGTTTCTTTGGTTTAGTTTTCGACCCTGTTGCTTTAAATTTGTTTTGTTTATTTCAGTTAATATCAGTTACTTGAAATCAGTATTTTGTAGTATTCTTGACTTTTTATTGTCTTATACTTATCTTATGTGTTGGTCTGTGTATTAATTTCTGTTTACTGTTTATCCCAGTAATTGTTTCTTGTTTGCCCTTCTTAGTTGCTGAGAGCCAAAGGTGTGGTGCTGGTGTCCCCGGTGGTGGCTTCCCCCTTTGTGTGTTGTGCTGTGCTCCCCCCTGATTTGTGTTCCTTCGTGTGAGTGTGTAGTGATCACGGGTGCCTTAATTTACTTTGTTGGGATCCCTCTCACCCCTCGTCACCTCCATCCACTGGTAAGCCTCAGCATCCCTGAATTAAGAATTCCCCCCTTTATTTTCAGTGTGTATAATGATCTTATGGTGTTTTTAATGATATTTTAATGCCAGAAATAAAACATTTGATAAATTGGAACCACGTCTCCTGCCTCTCAGTATCACGAACCTGAGTGCCTTGTTGGTACTTGGAATAATTATTTCCTTGGGTGCAATTCCCAAGGTGGCGTTGTCTGGCTTTTAGTTGAATAGGATTTCCAACAAACACCCCCCACGTGCCGCCTCAAACAGTTAAGGTTTCTTACAAATTTCCGTGTGAAGTGTGTCAAAGTGGCTGACTGTAGGAGTCAGTAACGTGAATGTACAATTGGGATTAAGGACAAAGTACAGCAAATGGGTATAGTAAAAAATGGTTGCCTGTGCCTGGCTGTAAACAAAAAGAAGTGGCAATGCACATGCAGCTCAGATATTCAATCAATGCCATGTGGTCTAACCAACAAATGATTCTAATAGTCATTATGAGAGCACTTGTCCATTATTAAATAACCAACTTCAAGGAATACAATATCATGCACAGTAATGTCAATCACTAAAATGAATGCAATAGTGAATTGGCCACACATCTGTGTCCTTATTATTCAATATTAATATTATTGAATATTAATATTATTGAATATAATTATTTAAAATTATAATATTAATATTATATAATTTAACTTGGAATATCATGAGCATATGACTCTATCCTAATGCATCTAACTGTATGCACAATATAATAGTCTGGCCAGCCCTGCAGCCCGTTCTAGGTTCTGATTGGCTCTAGGTTGGCATTCTAGCTTCTGACTGGCTGTCCAGGTTGTCAATCACAGCCGTGGGCATATTATACTAGTCGTAACATTGCTAAACTTTTTTCCTGACGGTTTTCTCAGTCAACTAATGCTATTGCTAACAGTAACATAAAGGAACACAGCCCTGCACACTGCACCTGCTGTCATTATATGCCGGGTCTGTGGTTCATCATCTTCCTTCTCATTCTCCTCCTTATTACTGCGACTGGGAGCGGGAGCCCTTCTACTAAACAGCTCTGTGATTTTCGAAATGTTTCCAGCATCTTCCTGTTCGTTTTTTCATTCTGGCTTTTTCAGCCCCACCCTTTCTTTTTTTACTGTTCTTCTTCTTGTCTTTCTCAATTTCACTAGCTAACTTACTGATCAATCATCAAACGAAGCTAGGGAGCTTGTCTGATGAGTGGACCTCTGACGCGGACCTCGCCCTCTTTCCAATAGACCTATCGCTAAACCACGCCCCAAATATAATTTGTCCAATCATATCACAGCAAAAATCCCTCCGGGTAGAAAACTCGGACATCACCAGAAAAGCCGTTTGTGGGGCGCATCAAACCAAAACCAGACGTCTGTGATCGAAACCACTGTGAAGAGTTCAGTTTCTATGTTTATTATCTAGCTAATATCTGATGGTGAAACGCTGTGCGTGGGGTACCTGTAATTCGGACACCAGGTACCCTAAAAGACTGGATGGAGGAGTATATTTCGTACCTTTTCCGAAGCCCAAAAGAAAACTCAACAAATGCAAGCGGTGGATTATGCTGTGTCGTCGACCACATAGCACATACACAACTGAATGTGAAGACAATTACCAAGGACACTTATTATTGCTCAAAGGTAAGGTCAATTCATAAAGACATAATATTTGACGGCATGTATTAGAAACGTAGACCAAACTATTAGTTTGCTAACGATTGACTTTGACTGCCAACTAGCTAGCGTATATCCAGCCCAGCTAACTAACGTTAGCTGCCAACTTGTTAGCCAGCTAACTAGCTACAGTGTTATCAACATCAACGTTTGCTGTCTGACTTTTCGTCCTCGCTAGTTAGCTGGTGTTTTTAGCTAACTGTCTTTTCACCTCAAAGCACTTCAGAGATGGGAAGCCAACTCTGGAATATCCAGATCCCATCCGGGCTCTCGTGTGTGCTGCTCCGAAAAGACACAGACCCTCAACCAAAAAAAGGTAACGTAACAGTCAGCCAGGTGCATAACAGTGAAAATGATGACCAACAAGGACAGTTATAGTTATAGATTTAATGTAGTGACCACCACTGCTAACATTGACTTGAACTCCCCCGCGGCCATTGTCAACAGTCATTCACGGTCGGCTTTGTTTGTCCGAGTTTTCAAAGGGGGCGTGGCTTAGCGATAGGTCTATTGGAAGAGACGACTCATCTCTCCCGGCCCAACCCCTTCAGTTAATCTATTAGCCTACTTTCGAAAACATAAGATTGACAAGTTTGACAACCTATCAATAGTGCCGTTTACATGGAATGTTTTTCCGATCGTATCCGATCACTAAATAAAGCGATCCACGTTCACTCGTATACATGGGCCAAGCATTAAGCTGATTACAATTTGAAGTGGGCCGATCGGAGTGGGGCAGTGGGCCGCTTCGAGTGGTCCGACCGGCCCACTTCGGTACCGGACTTGAGTAAGAGTACAAGTACCAGAGTGTAGAAATACTCAAGTATAAGTACTAAAGTATTAGCATCAGAATAGTACCTGAATAACTATAAGCTGTTTTTTTTGCTTTCATTTCAGACCTCGTGTTTTAGTGTGCTCTGGAGGCACACAGAACAATATAGAGGAGTACCCGCAGTTGAAGGTATCTGATAAGACCACAGACAGACAGACAGACAGACATGCGGCCGCTGTTCAGGGCTTGATTAAAGGCCAATCTTAGCGTGGTAACGAGACACATTGTGTACCAGAAGCGTCCAGTGCATCTTATACAGAGATGGGGTCGTTACTAAAAAAAAGTTATATATTACATATTACTTTTTTTTAAAGTAATTTATTACACTACTTCGTTACTCTCTACATAAAGTAACTCGTTACTTTACTCGTTACTTTACTCGTTACTTTACTCGCAGGGCCGGCCCGCCCCTCCCTACAGGCAGATCACACAGACTGCTAAAGTTTCAAATGTTCTCTTTAGTTCAGTTTCCATTGTCGCATAAGACTGATCCAGATCCTGAATGTTTTCCTATCTGACCATGGCTGTCCTCTGTCTCCTGCTATCTGTATATTTTGCGCAGTCTATCTCTGCTCACGCTGTTGCGTCGGCGTGTTCTCCTGCGTGTTGGCCATGTGTTGCACTGGAACCAGACACCGCAAAGACTTCAGCCGAGCACGTACGAACTGCGCATGCGTGAGTGGCAATAACTCTCCTTACCAGCAGGCGGCGGTAGTGTGTATTCGTCATTCAAAACAGGCAACAACCGGAAAACAGAGAAAAAGAACAGACGTGATATAAACAAACAACAAATAGCTGTGCGTTAGCTTCACCTTAGCATGTGTTCTTTGCAGGTGTTTGTTGAGGTTTGATTATGACTGATTTTAGTAAGTAACGAAGTAACGCGTGTCGGGGCAGTGTTAGTAACTGTAGTGTGATTACTGAATTATAAAAGTAGCGCGTTACACTACTCCGTTACCGACAAAAGTAATATTATTACAGTAGCGCGTTACTTTGTAACGCGTTACACCCAACTCTGATCTTATATCCCCACTGCAATAATGATGGCAGTTACAAATGTGAACTTAGATGTTAAAGGTGAGCGAGTTCATCTCACCACTCACGCGTTGCAGCCATGTTTTTCACACACACACACACACACACACACACACACACACACACACTTTGTATTGTATTATTGTATGAGAGAGGTTCCAGGTTGAATTGAGGCGAATATTTGTAATGTTCAGAGATTGTTGTGTTTAATATTTGTCATTGTGTGTGTGTTGTTCAAATGATAAACAAAACTTTGCATAAAGCATATTTGTGCACTCATATGTTGATAAGAGTATTACAAACTTGAAAAATATCCCTCTAAGACAGTGGTTCTCAAACTTGTTTCACTCATGTACCCCCTTTTGAAAAAAAAATTCAGCCAAGTACCCCCTGATCAGCGCAAAAACTATTTGTTAAGGAAAGAAAGCCTATATAAAGAGGTACTGTACAGCGCTGCACCATCATGTCTGATTTATTAAAACAACAACTTTGTAACTGAGAAGCACTTAAATGCTACATTTCAAATGTTTACAATCCATCACTAAATTCATGGCAAACCAATTTTAACATCATGCAATAACACTAAGACGACATTAGTTAGGCTACATTGAACTGATCTTTTTGATAAGTTGTACTTACAATGTAGTGAGAAACATGGGCTTGTGCTTCACTGAGGATCTTTGTCATTCTGACAGGGAGGCAACCTGCAGTTATTACACTTCGCGTTTTGAAATATGTGTAACTCTGTTCATATAAAACCCACACTGCTCCAACTTCCTTACTTTTCCTAAAATTGGTATATTTATTTATTTATTTAAGGGCGTGGGGAATGTAGAGAAAAAGATATATGAGCATTTTATGAGCATGGGATTTTGACCCCTCATATAAACATATGCATAATGCTGCGCTATACTCTGCGGCCACACGCCGTTGCCAAGCAACGCTTATTGTTTAGGTGTCCTTTGATAAGCAGGCAGTCACATAATTAACTAGAACTAGCTAGATCTGATAGATTTGGACATAAACGCGAGTGAAGTATAACCGGGCGTGAGAAAGAGATCAGAGATCAGATCAGCTGCTGCTGATGGAGAACACGCGGCTCTGCATGATCACAGCTCCGCCGCTGTGACGGACCGTTGAGCTGAGCAAAATACACTAAGTTAGACCTAACACACTTAGCTAGTTTATCTACTCTGGAACTAGCTAAACTAGTTATAAATATATTTATTTTTTACTGTCGGGTCACTTATTACAGGTTCAGCGAGCTGCACGAGACTGACGGGCTGTCAGGAGAGGGAGAGGAAAAGAGAGCACCCCGTTTATTTTTCCCATTTTATTATCCAGAATTACTCTAAACCTTTGAAGTAGTTAATCTACTATTAGTAGTTTGTGTAAATGCATGTGTGTATGAATTATACGTTTTTGTTTTTGTATGATTTTAGTAGAATAAATACAAAAAATGTTTTTTTTGTCATTAACATAAAATAAATCTCACGTACCCCCTGCAGTACTCCAACGTACCCCTAGGGGTCCGCGTACCCCCATTTGAGAACCACTGCTCTAAGGTACATTTAGAACAGATAAAAAATGTGCGATTAACTACGGACAATCATGCGATTAAATATTTTAATCGACTGACAGCCCTAATATATACTGTATATATATTACATGACATGTCACTTGGACGCTTTTATCCAAAGTACTGTGGACAATCTCCACAGGAGCACTTTGGGGTGAAGTGTCTCAGGGAAGGACATGCTGACTGCAGTGGGACTCAAACTTGCTACCCCCTGATTCGAAGTCCAGCACACTCTCCACTGAGCCACATATGTTTATGTGTTTATGTCACATCTAGTGACACTGGACTATGGGGTCCAGTGTCACTAGATGTGACATAAACATAAACGTTTGAGCCCGCTGAGTCAGGGAAGGTTTTTGCTTTCTGTTTCTCTGCTATTTTTTTATATTTACTATTTAGCAAATTTACTATAAGACATTGGTTTGTTTTTTTCATCAATTGTTATATCGTTTTGTATGCGTTTTGAACTGAAGAAGAATTTATTTTTACATGGGTTTCTGTGTGAAAGTAGAACAGTAGGGGAAAGAGGTTTGCTGTGCCTTGTTGTGAAATCACTGAAAACCACAGCGCTACGGCGTCAAGGTGTAGGGGTGTTCTCTCTCTATGGGAAATGATATGTTCCAGGGAAAGATACATTTGACCTCTGACCTACTGACTGAGTAGGTCAAATCATGCAGAAGAAAAACAACACAATGTTTGCTTCATTGGCTTTGCAACACTTTATTTACAATTCAGTGAGTATAAAAACTGCTGTCAGATATGTGTACAACACATCTTAAACTTACAAAGAATACATGTTTTTTAACAATTCATTAGAAAAAAATACAAAGTGAAAAGATGCAACAGATTCTTCTGTTTCTCATGCAGTTCTGTCTAACTCTGAGCGGCCCTCAGTGCTGCCACCTGCTGCTCATCAGGGCTCCTCCACACAGTAATGGGAGTATGGCGAGATCCACTTCACTGCACAGTCCCTGAAAACACACACACCTGTTATCAAAAAAGACACACACACAGCACTAAGAGACTGCTCTATCACTACAGCCATTGTCTTTAATTACCAAGTTATGCAGAGTGATCATTTGAATTTGAAGTTTCTTCTTTACTTCCACCTTTCCTTACTATTTCCCTTTTGCTTTCCTACCTTGGCAGAGGAGATTTGTCACATTTTTCATGGGCACACCTCACACACTCTGCTCTGCTTCTCATCCCACAAATGCATGTTCCTCACAAATGTAGCACTATTTTAAAGGTGAATAAATAGACTTTCCAACGGTATAAGATTGTTTGCCATAACAAATAAATCATCTACCAAACACAAATGTCCTTACTGTTTGTGTTAAGCTTATATTTCGGTACTTCCTGTTGCTTTGGCAGTGGATGCTGAGTGGTGAATGGGGAGCAACAGTGTTTGCTCTGAGGATGTTTGTACCTGTGATACTTGTGTCCTTTCCTCCTCTGGTACTCTGTTTCATCCACTGTCCACACGGCTCCCTTTCCTCCCTCCACGCGCACAAAACACTTGTGCAGGCTGAGGTTGTGCCGCACTGCATTCTGGGAGGAAAGGTCAATGTGATTTAGTAGATGGAAAACTTTTTCTTGTAGATTTTTAGTAGAACAATTAAGACCAACATTTCTTGTGATTTTCCTGTCGGTTTAACCATAATGCAATCTTCCTGTCACAAAGGAGTTAACGTGATTGCCAGCTTCCAAGTTCTAAATAGTGCATTTGTAATTATGATGACATGATCTAAAACAATTGAGAACTCTAATATATCTTGTTGGCTGAAGTAAATGAAAATGCGGTTTAATTTAGCCTCATTACCTTTTTACTGTTGCCTTGTTGAATGGATATAGATATGTTGCTATGAGAACACCACAGTCAAACTCACTTATTAAGAGATTTTTGGAGCCATTAATCGCTTTATGATTTATGAACAGCATTAGTTACGAACTATTATTTTTAGAACTGTTAAGATATTTATGTAAAGTAATACATATATATATATATAATGTTTTGTTTGCAGGCGCTCTCTATCACTCTGTGATTGTGTGACGTCAGCCTCCCCCTGTGGTGTTTGAGGCTTTAAATTGACGAGACACTTGTGTGTTTTTGGGTCAGATGGCGGAGGTTTCAGACCACATTATTAAGCGCAGCATTCTATAAAGTAGATCACATTATTTGGCATATTGTTTAAATTATTTTTGCCGCACTATTTAGCACATTCTTTTCACACATTATCTTTGACGATTGCCGGAGTTTATTGTTTAATAAATCATCATTTTTCGTGTGGAATTAAACTGCATCTCTGTGCGTGCTTTTTGGTAATGTGTGTCAGACACCGTCACCTGACTTCATGTGGCTTCAGAAAGTTTAAAACCCAGTATTAGCCACATCAGGTCATTATTAGTTGTAGAACTATCATCATATCAAAGATATGAGCAGGTCAAACATTAGTCTTTTGATGTATTATGTTCGCCAAATTTGAACGTGTTGCAATGTAAGTGATATTAACAAGTCTGAACAATTGTAAGGAGTGGACAAAACTGTGAAGTTGCATTTCAGTGTACATACATGATTTAGCAAGTGACATTTGCAGTTAGGCTCCACCCATCATAAATACTTCTGAGCAGAATGAATGTGTGTGTTCAAACCTTCCAGGTAGCAGTGTTGTGTCTGAAGTAGAAGAACATGGTCGTGAACCAGTTGTAAATCTCATTCAACGTGCACTGTTTGTCAGTAGACTCCAGGATGGACTGCACACAGACACAGTGAGAGAAACACACAATGACACTCAGTGAGAAGACTGTAATCCAATGTGTTGACAGATCAGAGACGGTGCAGTTGGTAGCAGACTACATCTGATTGTAACCGGAGGCACTCTGGCAAACACTACTAACAACCACTACATTGAAACACAGTCAATATTAAACTGTAACCAGAGGTGCTGTTTCTGTTTGATAATGTTAGTGTTATATGTCATGTTATAGTTTATTTTGTGTTAAACTTTCATCTGTGCAATTACAACTTCTTCAAATGTCATACTGTTAACATGCTTCGCATTATTGCTGTGCTGTTGTTAAAAAACACACACATTTCTTCACAAATAATGGAACATCTCACAGCACCTCCTGAGAGAGACTCACCCATCTTATCAAGTACGCATAGGTGTACGGAGGCCTGATGTTGTTGTATTTGTAGCATTCAATACTTGGAACCAAATCTGTACAACAAAAAATAATGATCATCAATTCATGTCAACAAGCACATGGGACTACAATCATGTGGTTATTCATCTGATCTTATAAGATAGTTTCCTGTCAAACCACAGAGTGTTAGTGGGAAACTATAGCACTGAACAGGTGGTGTTAAGAGCATGTCTGTTTCCTGTTTCATTTTGAACAGTGTTCGCCCCCTGTCTCACGTCTCTTTTTACTTCCTGTCTCTGTGTTCCCTCCTGTTTGATAACCTTTGTGTTTGCCTTCCCTACCCAGCTGGGTCTTGTCCTCGTGATTAGTCTTGCATGCTTTGTCAGTTCTGGTGGTCTGTTAGTTGTTGTCAGATCCTTGTATGTCATTTGTGGATTAGTGCATTGATTGCCTAGAGTTTGTTACTTTTATTTTGCCTGACGTTGTCCTACTCTATCGATTAAAGGTATTTTTTTTGTTGAACATTTGTACGTTCTGCATTTGGGTCCACCCTGCTCTGCTCCCAAGCCAGACAGAAGGATCTGACCAGAACATGGACCGAGCGGACGAGTTATTTGAGGAAGAACCTTTTGAGCTGTCCTACTCCCTTGTCTGCTGCTATGGGGAGTGGAGGATAGCCCCGACAACGAACTACAAAAGAGTAGCTTTAAGACTGGCATACCAGGGGCCTGTACTAGAAGCAGGATGTTCGGTTAGCGAGGTAACTTCAGGGTTAACTCTGAGTTTTCTGTCCTACGACGCTGCTTCACTTCTTACTGGGGTAGATCTCCATGAACACCAAACCTGCTCCGGAGCAGGTTATGTTCCAGATAAGAGATCAACTCAGTGAAAGCACCGCCTGCTGACCAATCAGAGCTCTGTGTGCTGAGGTTAAAGCTATCAAGTCATATTACAGATAACATATTATATTGCTTTTATCCTGGATTAAGTGTTTGAGTCATGGATGTTTAAAGTTTAACTAATTCATATTTGTCTAACATGATAGTTTACTCTTCTTTCATGAAGTATGACCGTCTGCTGTCAGTACGCTTCTTCATGTTTGTGATTGGTCAACTGTTGCTAACCCTGTCCCTTTCACATGAACACGCTCTGGACAGAGAAACCCTGGTTGACTTACCGAGTTGATAACCAGCGTCGTATCTCGTTTGTTAGGGTTAGTTAAGCCAGATAACTCAGAGATATCAGGGTCTGTTGGACTGACTTCGTCTACAGACCTCTGGAAGCTCAGACAAAGCTCTCTGGATTGTATGTTTTTTACCCGGCTGGATAAAGGATTTTGTTGAAACTGTTGCTTGCTCCGGACTGCTGGCCCTCAGTCAGCCCTGCTACCAGCCCGAGCCCCGGCTCAAGTTCCAGCCCCTGACACTGCTCAAGCTCCACCCCTCTGTGTTCCCTTTGGCGATCCGGGCCTAGAGTTTCCTTCCCCGACGCGGGGGCCACTATCCACCCTTTGGCCCCTGTATGTAAAGAATCTTGCTTTACAGAAATAAATGCAGAAACACAAATACAGTACACTGTTGAAACAAAACCTTTTAGTTTTCGAAACAACTAATCAGTGCAACGTGCATGCAAAGCACAAACAGTTACAGTTGTGGGAACCATAACATGTGATCACTACCAAATACAGTAAAGGAAAAAGAAAACCATGAGAAAATAATTAATATTTTTTTGTCCAAAAAAGCGGAAAGAACAATACCTAACCGAGCTGGGACTGGCCACAGCGACTAATCAGCATGACAGGCAATATATTTACTGGCTGAACACTGATGGAAGACACAACTCGTCCCTTACATGGATACTATGTTGTCACCTGAATAAATACATTGCTAACCACTCACCTGACTTGTTTCCCCTCTTTTGTCACATTCCCTGATCCGGTTTGTGACATCAGAGTCCTGCTCCCTGTGGCATGCACCACGCCCAAATAACTCCTCAATTGACTTCAATTCGTCCTCACATGTTGCTTCTATCTATGTTGCAAAAAAAATACTCACCTGCAGTCTTTATATAGTGCTTACATCCTGATTGATGAGTCAAGAAATAATCAGTTAGGCACATGGCACATGTATTTGCTAACACAATCGTAGCATTGGAACGAAATTACATGTATGTACAATTATTTAAACTCACACTCAAAGAGCAAAACCTGTGCTCAAATCTCCAAAACTCTAAACACATTTTCAGCTCTGAACCCAATTTGCAATTCAACCTGGCACTTTTTGCAAAACACTGCACACGGTTCTCTAAGTAAGACACATAAATCTGACATATTCACTTGTTTGCCGTTTTCAAAACACTGCCATTAGAAATGCTACACACATGAACCAATAAACAAATACACGTGCCAAATGACCATAAACACCAAACTGCTTTATTGTTGACTCAGCAATCAGGATGTAAGCACTTGAACAAGGCTCCACATAATACCTTTTTACAACAAACATGGATATATGGATAGCAGCAAGAGGGAGAGGGAGGATGAGAGAGAGGGAGGATGAGAGAGGGAGGATGAGAGAGAGGGAGGATGAGAGAGGGAGGAAGAGAGAGGGAGGATGAGAGAGAGGGAGGATGAGAGAGAGGGAGGATGAGAGAGGGAGGATGAGAGAGAGGGAGGATGAGAGAGGGAGGAAGAGGGAGGATGAGAGAGGGAGGATGAGGGAGAGGGAGGATGAGAGAGAGAGAGAGGGAGGATGAGAGAGGGAGGATGAGAGAGAGGGAGGATGAGAGAGGGAGGATGAGACAAAGGGAGGATGAGAGAGAGGGAGGATGAGAGAGAGGGAGGAAGAGAGAGGGAGGATGAGAGAGGGAGGAAGATAGAGGGAGGATGAGAGAGAGGGAGGATGAGAGAGGGAGGATGAGAGAGGGAGGATGAGGGAGAGGGAGGATGAGAGAGAGGGAGGATGAACGGATGTCAGGTTGGAGCTTAGTGAGCCTCCTCTGCAGGCAGTGGAGAGGCCTGTGATGATGCCCCTGGTTAGGGTCCAGAGCTGAATCAACAGGCGATGATGACCCTGGTTAGGGTCCAGAGCTGAATCAACAGGCACTTCCTCCCTGCATGTCTAGCCAGGGGAAATGTTGCCTGTGATGTTGATGATGTGGCCAGAGCCAGCTACGTGGTCAAATGCAGCCTAAGTATTTTTCTTTCCTCTGCTAAATATTTGTTCCTTAAAGTTTTATTTTCCCTTTACTGTATTTGATAGTGTGCACATGTTTTATACCCTTAACTGTCACTGTATGTGCTGTGTGTATGTTGCGCTGATGGACTGTGTAGAAAAATTAAAGTTTTGTTTCAACAGAATATTTGTGTTTCTGCACTTACTTAGCGCAGAATTCTCTACATACAGAACGCCATAAGAGACGAGTGTGCTTTAGATTGAGCACAGCGTTGTGTATTTGGGTGGACAAAGAAGCTGGAACTCTAAATGAGGTGTGTGCCATGTGGTGCAAAAGTTTGGTTTTGGTGAGTGTTTATGTAGTTTTAGGTGCAGTAAGTCATTCTGCAGGATATAAGAGGTGTTCTGTACTTTGGCTGTGTGATTTTGTGAATTGTTTTAAGGGTTTTGAGAAAATGAGCCATGTTTACGTGTGTTAGCAAAATAAACTGTATTACACTTCCATAGAAAACTTACCTGGCAGCAGGTGGGCAGAGGCAGGAGCTCTGGGGCCGTGCTGCCCCCCCCTCCCCTCTGGATGTTTGATGCTCCACTGTTGCACTCTGTCTCCCTCTGTGCCCGGGGGCTGGGGCAGGAACAGACGCAGGCTGTACGGCCATTGAGACGCTGCCTTCAGTAGTGTGCATGGATGGAGGAGGATATGAAAACACTTTCATTCATCTGCTTTCTTTCCGGGTAGAAAATCAGTCACTAAGAATCTTGGCTAATTATAAAGTTTTGAATGAATTCTTCAAGCTACACTTAGCTAAATTCTAGTAAAGCACACAAATCTAGAAGAAACAATACATACTTTGAACCAACATACCAAATCAGTGTGTTTGTGTTCAGAGAGGTGTAGATGAAGTTGCATTGCAATGAGCTTCTGTTTTTCCAGGATGAGCTGGAAAAGAGAAAGCCTATGGTTAAATATACATCACATTAAATAAGTGATTTTACAACATGACACACACAGTGTTTGTAAGTCCTCTTTCAACATTTGTAAGAATGCTGGCAGGTGACAAGTGTGGATCAGTGCTTTAGTGCGCTGATCTTCGTAGCGGGGGGCACCGGTTCAAATCCCGCTGCAGTCAGCATTTCTCTGTCTTTTGGCAAGACACTTCACCCCACCTCAACCTTGTGTTCCTGGTAGGGTCTCCCATGGCAAATTGGTCTCAGGCAAGGGGCCAGACTAAGATTGGTTCAAAAGACCTCTTGAAAGAACAACAAAGAAGTGAGGATACCCGGCCCGGTGGAAGCCCGGGGTCCCCTTCTGGAGCCAGGCCCAGATGGAGGACTCGTCAGCGAGCGTCTGGTGGCCAGGCTTGCCACGGAGCCCGGCCGGGCACAGCCCGAAAAGGCAACGTGGGCAACACCTCCGCTTCTCCGTCCCGCGGGCCCACCACCTACGGGAAACAGCGATGGGGTCGGGTGCGCTGCCAGAAGGGTGGCAGTGAAAGCAGAGGGTCTCGACGGACCAGACCCGGGCGACAGAAGCTGGCTTTGGGGATGTGGAACGTCACCTCTCTGGGGGGGAAGGAGCCGGAGCTTGTGCGGGAGGTGGAGCGTTACCAGCTGGATCTGGTTGGGCTCACCTCTACGCACAGCGTCGGCTCTGGAACCTTACTTCTGGATAGGGGTTGGACTCTATTCTTCTCCGGAGTTGCTCAAGGTGTGAGGTGCCGGGCGGGTGTGGGGATACTCACAAATCCCCGGTTGGGTGCTTCGTTGTTGGAGTTTACCCCAGTGGACGAGAGGGTCGCCTCCCTACGCCTGCGGGTTATGGGGGGGAAAACTCTGACTGTTGTATGTGCTTATACACCAAACAGCAGTTCAGAGTATACAGCCTTCTTGGAGACCCTGGAAAGAGTCCTGTATGGGGTTCCTGAAGGGGACTCTTTAATCTTGCTGGGAGACTTCCACGCACATGTGGGCAATGATGGAGACACTTGGAGGGGCGTGATTGGGAGGAACGGCCCCCCTGATCTGAACCGGAGTGGTGGTTTGTTACTGGACTTCTGTGCTAGTCATGGATTGGCCATAACAAACACCATGTTCGAACATAAGGATGCTCATAAGTGTACGTGATACCAGAGCACCCTAGGCAGAAGGTCCATGATCGATTTCGTTATCGTATCATCGGACCTGAGGCCGTATGTTTTGGACACTCGGGTAAAGAGAGGGGCGGAGTTGTCAACTGATCACCATCTGGTGGTGAATTGGGTCGAGTGGCGGGGGAAGCCTCTGGATAGACCTGGTAAGCCCAAACGTGTAGTTCGGGTGAACTGGGAACGTCTGTAGGAGGCCCAAGTTCAGGAGGCCTTCAACTCACACCTCCGGCGGAGCTTTTCGGGCATTCCTGTGGAGGTTGGGGACATTGAACCAGAGTGGTCGGTGTTCAAAGCCTCTATTGCCGAAGCCGCGGCGGGGAGCTGTGGTCTCAAGGTTTTAGGTGCCTCAAGGGGCGGTAACCCTCGAATCTCCTGGTGGACACCGGTGGTCAGGGAAGCCGTCCGACTGAAGAAGGAGGCCTTCAGGGAGTTGTTATCCCGGGGGACTCCCGAGGCAGTTGCAAGGTACCGACAGGCCCGAAGAGCAGCAGCCTCAGCCGTGGCCGAGGCAAAGCAGCGGGTGTGGGAGAAGTTCGGAGAAGACATGGAAAAGGACTTTCGGGCGGCACCAAAGTTGTTCTGGAAAACTGTCCGACACCTCAGGAGGGGGAAGCTGGGAACCATCCAAGCTGTGTACAGTAAGGATGGGACGTTGTTGACCTCAACTGATGGAGTGTTAGGGCGTTCAGCACTCACTGAATCGGTTCGCAACCGAGTGTGAAGCGGCTGGGATGAGGATCAGCACCTCCAAATCTGAGGCCATGGTTCTCAGCAGGAAACCGATGGACTGTCCACTCCAAGTAGGGAATGAGTCCTTACCCCAAGTGAAGGAGTTCAAGTATCTCGGGGTCTTGTTCTCGAGTGAGGGAACAATGGAGCGTGAGATGGGCCGGAGAATCGGAGCAGCGGGAGCAACACATCCTCACTCCCAGGTCGGCCTATGTTGACGTTATGTCAAGTCCTGTGTCGGCTTTTTTCAACGCAAGGGGGGCGGGGCCTTAGCGTCCATTTTCAATGCAAGAGAGGGGCCCTTAGCGTCCATTTTCAGCTTTCCGGGATGTCCATATGCTTCTATGGACGCTCATGGAAGCACGGCATTCGTTTGTGTCGGCTGCCCTTAAAGGCAATGTGAGCATCCATTCTCATTGGATAACGGAGAATTGTACACCCGGAAGTAAGTATTCCCCTTACTGTCGATTGATTTTACAGTGATATCTGCACTACTCATCGACTAAAAAATACCAGATTATCCTTGTTAATTACACAACATTGATTGGTTTAAATTGTGTGCAATGCTTTTGTATTTTTCCCCTTTGATTCGGAGAAACAAATATGTTTTCGGAGTAAAGGAGGGCAGAAGACACTACACTACCCAGAATCCCCAGCTATCGTTTGGACTACACCATGTGCTCTGTTTGACGTCACGTGATCTTCAAATTTCTCCCTGCAGAAAAAAAAAACATGGCCGAACTTCGTTTTATTCTCGGTGGAAAATGCCTATTTTAAAGTTAGTTTGGCCATTAAAATGCGTTTTGATGTCATTTGATGCGAGAAATATGAGTTGTTATTTCAGATTATGTGTGCAGTGGATGTACATGATCTTTAGTTTGCTAGTTATTACGAAGATTACTTCAGGAAATTGCGTCCATAACGTTTTCATTGTTACCAAGGTGGTTGCTAGGGACGCTGCTATCGATATTATTTCTGTTATGTTGTGTAACTGTTTAATGGTGTTATCTTTATTGCTACCCCCTTCCCCGTCAATGTATAGTGTTGGTCCACAGCGCAAACATATTAGTTTAACAAAATCCGCATCTAAAGATAGCCTACGTTATTTTCCCCTGTGCAATTCCAGTCTCACATCTCACATCACATCGTCATTAACAAATACCGGAAACAGACCGAAAACATTTAAAAAAAAAAAAAATACTTTATTCCGAGTGTGCTTGCTTTTCTCTTTGAAAGTCATCACATAACGGCATTGTAATACACGGTTCGGCTGCATTAAATATTACATATCTGCCGTAGTTCTGTATTTATAGAGCCCTGATGAGAAGACTTCTAGACAAACATGAGGAACTGAAAACGTGACGTGGGTCATAAATATATCAGCAATTAAACAACATCTTACATTTCTTTTCACACAATACGTCTCCTTGCAGTATCAACACTAATTCGGCTGACTTTTATATTTGATCCAATTCGTAGATAGGCTGTATTTACACCATAAAGGTGCACAGCTGATATAAAGGGACACCTAGTGGTTAAAGCATGTTATTGAATTTCATTATTTTTATTATTAGATATTAATAGGATCCCTATAAAGTATATTCATTACTCGTTATTATCTACTAATAGTTAATTAAAGACTGTATATAATGACAATTTTGCACATCCCTTTCAAGATTTCAAGATTTTCTAAGGTTTATTGACATATCATATAGGCCCACACAACTATGGTGTAGTTATGCATTGAATTAAAAACTTGGGTCGCAGGTTCCTCAATAGTGCATTACAAGACATCTATCAATATTTGTGCATACCTCCAGCAATGTTAACTATGTTGAAGCACTTATTTTAACTGATATTATATATAATGTATTATACTCTTATAAAATGTATGTAGATATTTCATCTCCGGCCTTGTCAGGTATTGAACAATCAATAAATAAAGAACACAGAATTGTTGAATATAAAACACAGAATTTGTGTGATTATACTAAATGATTTACAAATAAACACCACTGCATATTTAACTGTTACACATGCTGATGTAACGCAAATGTTCCAACTTGGGATCAATAAAGTATATCTTATCTTAAGCTGATCGATGGCTACTGCCATATTTGCAAAATGTGCCTCTGAACCTTGACAAGTGCATGTTTCAGGCTTATCAATTAATGTAATGTAATGTTATCAATTAACAACAGGGGTCACAAACATAAGACCAGCTGTTAAATAAAGCTCTTCTGACCTTAGCTGGCATGTGTGTGTATATATTAATGCTGCCCATTATGGGCACAAGCAATTTTCACCCGTTTATTAATTATATGTTTTAAATGTGAGTGTTTCCTACCCCCTAAACCTCCAGGGATGTACACAGTTTAATACTGGCAACTTCTTATTATGGGAAATACGAAAACGTCTTTTAAAACTACAACTCCCAGTATAGACGTGCCATAGATAGAGAACATGTTGCGAAACAGAATAGCCAGCATGTGTAGTTCTGGGGATGGGGTGGGGGAGGGGGGGGACGCGGTGGTCCCGTTCAAATCCAGTGTTGGACAGTCTGCCGTTCGAGGCTCGGCGTAACCCTCGGAGCACACTCTCCAATCACAGAGCTTGAGGACTATCACTGGGTTTGTCAAACAGAGCACATGGTGTAGTCCAAACGATAGCTGGGGATTCTGGGTAGTGTAGTGTCTTCTGCCATCCTTTACTCCGAAAAAATATTTGTTTCTCCGAATCGAAGGGGAAAAATACAAAAGCATTGCACACAATTTAAACCAATCAATGTTGTGTAATTAACAAGGATAATCTGGTGTTTTTTAGTCGATGAGTAGTGCAGATAACACTGTAAAATCAATCGACAGTAAGGGGAATACTTACTTCCGGGTGTACAATTCTCCGTTATCCAATGAGAATGGACGCTCACATTGCCTTTAAGGGCAGCCGACACAAACGAATGCCGTGCTTCCATGAGCGTCCATAGAAGCATATGGACATCCCGGAAAGCTGAAAATGGACGCTAAGGGCCCCCCCCCTTGCGTTGAAAATGGACGCTAAGGCCCCCCCCCTTACGTTGGAAAAAGCCGACACAGGACTTGACATAACGTCAACATAGGCCGACCTGGGAGTGAGGATGTGTTGGCGGGAGCGGTACTGCAGTCGCTTTACCGCACCGTTGTGACGAAAAGGGAGCTGAGCCAGAAGGCAAAGCTCTCTGTCTACCGGGCCATTTTCGTTCCTACCCTCACCTATGGTCATGAAGGATGCGTCATGACCGAAAGAACGAGATCGCGGATACAAGCGGTCGAGATGGGTTTTCTCTGCAGGGTGGCTGGTGTCTCCCTTAGGGATAAGGTGAGAAGTTCGGTCATCCGGGAGGGACTCGGAGTTGAGCCGCTCCTCCTTCGCGTCGAAAGGAGCCAGTTGAGGTGGTTCGGGCACCTAGTTAGGATGCCACTTGGGCACCTCCCTAGGGAGGTGTTCCAGGCACGTCCAGCTGGGAAGAGACCAATGGGTAGACCTAGGACCAGGTGGAGGGATTATATCTCTTCGCTGGCCTGGGAGCGCCTTGGGATCCCCCAGTCAGAGCTGGTTGATGTGGCCAGGGAAAGGAAAGTTTGGGGCTCTGCTGGAACTGCTACCCCCGCGACCCGACCACGGATAAGCGGGAGAAGATGGATGGATGGACTTCACCCCACATCATTGAATGTATAATAAGGATAACATTGGGAGGGATGAATCCTTCTTTAATGGTCACTGTTACAGCCGCTGCTACCTTGTGCCTTTAACTCTGTGGGTGTGTGTATGCAAATGAGCTGTGCCGTTCCTATGCCGTCAGTGGCCGTCTCGACCTCGCAACATCCGCGGGGATTGGACAGACGTCACCCAAGCCCTGCCCGCTTCTGCCACGTCATCCGGGGGAGGAGTATAAAGGCTGGGCACGGATACCATTCGGGAGGCTCTGTATTGTGTGACAGATGCCTCAAAACTCTCATTGTGACAAAGCCAGTTTCTGTGATTCCTAAGACTGCTTTGCAGTGTGTATTTTGTGATTCATTAGACTGCTTAGCAGTGTATTCTGTAGGGTTCTGTGCGAGCACACTGATTAGCAGTGTGTCCTAGTATTCTGTGTCTAGTATAGGGTTTTGTGTGTGTGTTGCGTAGATCCAGGTTGCTTAGCTCCTGTAGAACCGCATTTAGGATATTTACATTGTGAAACAGCTTAGACCCAGGTTAGCTTAGCGCCTGTAGATCAGCATTTGTGAACGTATTGCTTAGACCCCGGTGATTAGTACCGGTTGATCAGCAACAGCTGCGTTCTCACACAGCCTCGTTTTGATTATTGTTTTGTTCCACTTTAGAAGTGAGGTACTTTCTTTTCCTTTTGTATACCCTGGTGCTACTCTCTTTTGGGGTGCTCCTTTTGTTAACCAGTAACAGTTTGGCCTTTTGTTGGTGTCAAACTGTTTGTGTACATTATTCTGTTCAAAGTTTTGGTAACAAGTAAACCACCGGTAACAATTACCAATTCCAAACTGGTCGTGTCGTTTCCCTTTGTACCCCTAGCCAAGAGGGAACGTAACAGTCACACATGCAGAGCACACACATGTGTTCTCTGCTTTTAACCCATCCTAGCCCCAGGAGTCTAGCACTAGGGGCAGTGGGCTAGTGTACAGCGCCCGGAGAGCAATGGGAGTGGGGGTGTTCGGTGCCTTGCTCAAGGGCACCACGGCAGGGCAGGAGGTGAACTGGGACCTCTCCAAGTAGCAGTCCACACTCCATATTTAGGTCTGGTCGGGACTTGAACCGGCAACCCTACAGCTCACAGCCCAAGCCCCTACTGACTGAGCCACTGCCGGACCCTATGTAAGTGGCTTTGGATAAAAGTGGCTAATACGTGACATGTAATGTGTATGACAAACATTAGAGCTGTGTTTGTCCTGTAGCGGACTCTCAGTTATAGCCTAAAGAGACAACGCTCCTTTTATTTGGTTTTCATGTGTCATTAGGATAAAAGCTTTATAGAAACACACACAAAATATATAGAGGAAATATTCCAACATCCATAATAGCTTCAACACACTTTGGTTATCATCAATGAGGCATACAATCAGTTTTCTGAAACATTTAGAGTAGATCAGTAATACTCAATATCAATTTAATTTCCTAGGATATTAATGTATATCTGTGTCGTTTCAGACCTTCTAGGCTTGTCTAGTTCCCACCTGGCTCTCAATGCACTGGACGACGTCTTGCTGGAGCTTCCACTGAGCGATGCTCCTGTCACCAGGACTATGTTCAGAGTGGAGGTGCCTGGAATACCAAACAGGACAGAGCTTACCTTCCAGCTTATTTGGGAATCAAACAGATATTGGGATGATGTTCTTTCCTCCATTGATTTGTGTATCTAGCCCCAACACACATCAACTCAATTACCAAATGATGAACAAGAGCAAGTGCCATTACAAACTTAATGTGCTTCAAAACAACACAACATGAGGGCATGGTACTGCCTGACAGATGTATTGTACTCTGGGTAAGATGGAATAACATATGTGCTGAACAAATATTTTAAAGAGGCAAACATTGTTTGATATTGCTAGGTTATTTTCACATTACATTACTAATATCAACTGAAGAGGATATGTACCTCCTGATCATTTTCCAAAAATACCATACCAATTCAAAGACAAGTGTGCTGTTACTGTAGGATTCAGCAGTCTACTTACTTTAAGAAAGAGGGGAAATCCTCAGACAGCACATCACAGCCGGGCCAGCGGCAGAGCCCCCCCACAGACAGAGCAGTGGTCCTGCCTGAGATGCTGGTGTGAACACAAATATCTCAGTGATACCATTTCTGAACCAATGAAATAACGGCAGCGCTTTCAGGCTGAAAGTGCAGTACAAGGAAAGACACCATTCGGTGGACATTTGAGAAAGTCACCCATCATGAATCCTGGCCTCCATGGAGTTCTGAACATGAACATCTCTCCTCACTGGGAGGAAGTGATGATTCTGCCTGGGAGAGGAAGAGCCCATGTGTGATGAGGAAGACTGGGGAAGAGAGTCTGCATCCACCTCTTCCTTGCAAATGAAGACGACTGCATTATTTTCTGGATGTACAAAAATATAGTATTGATGTAGGCATTTGATCTAAATTGTACATGAATAGCATCAAGCTCTACTGTACGTTGCAAGAAAGAATGTCTCATGTCCAGTTGCATAATTTGTATAAAGGCTAATTGTTTGTGCATACTGAAATAAATACTGAATACAACAATAGCGTAGCTAAAAAAAACGTTAGCACACTTGAATGAAGGGTTGTATCAGATGAATATGTTGCTGTTGTGGTGCTCAGGACTCGGAGGATTGTGCGTACCGTGGGGTTGACTGGAAGCGGTTTGGGAAACCTGGCGCAGCACTGATGGCCTCTGCTGTTTCTGCCTTATGTCTTCCATACTGCTCCAAGACTGGGAGAAAAAACACCAATATGATGTGGATGATGTGACAGATAAAACAACATGTAGTCATTTTTAACCATTACAAGCTCTACTAACTTTAACTTGACTAATTTCAGCCTGATGAATACCTCCTGAGGGTCAGGAACGGGGGCGTTCCTAATAATGCATACTAAATCAAAAAACAAATTTTAAAGGTTCAATACCAGTTGTAATATTAATGATGTTTGCAGAAATATAATTTTCTACAAAGAACAAACATTTTAAGACTCTCCCGTATTATTTAGTCCACTTCAAAAAAACGTTATCATTTATTCATTCAACAGTTTTAGTTTTTTGTAAACTAATAATAATAGCTTGGATTTATATAGCGCCTTTCATGGGACCCAAGGACCCAACAGTCAGGTTGAAGGCCTTGGCAAACAGATGGGACTTGAGGGCACTTTTGAAGGCGTCAAGCGTGGGGATGTTGCAGATCTCCGCAGGGAGAGCATTCCAGAGGGTGGGGGCTGCCACACTGAAGGCTCTATCCCCGAAGGATCGCAGGTTGGTGCGGGGGGCGATAAGCAAGCCGGAGTCTGAATACCGCAGGTTCCGGGGTGGGGCATGTGGGCGGAGGAGGTCCGATAAGTAGTGGGCATGGAGGGACTTGTAGGTGAGGAGGAGGATTTTGTAAGTTATGCGGGACTTGACCGGCAGCCAGTGGAGGTGGATGAGGGTGGGAGTGATGTGCTGCCATGGCTTTGTATGTGTGAGTACCCTAGCAGCACAGTTTTGAACATACTGGAGCCTGACCAGGGTTTTGTTGGGGACCCCAAACAGGAGACCATTGCAGTAGTCCAAGCGGGAGGTGACGAAAGCATGGACTAGGGTTTCTGCAACCGACTCCGAGAGTGACGGGCGGAGTCTGGCAATGTTCCTTAGATGGACAAAGACAGATTTGGTCACAGACTTGACGTGGGAGTGGAAGGAAGGGTGGAGTCAAAGATGACACCCAGGTTGCAGACTTCAGGAGATGGGGAAATGGAGCAGCCGTCAACCTCAAGGATGAAGTCACCAACCTTCTGGAGCAGCGCCTTGGGGGCCACAACCATTAGCTCTGTTTTCCTGCTGTTGAGTTGCCCGCTAGCGAGTTGCCCTGTGAAAAGTCAAGCTCTCTCCTAATGATTGTATAATACAGTGTATTACTATAGTTACCTCTAACAGGACGCTCACACCAGGGTATGATTCTCTGGCGACATAGACCGCAAAACAACTGTATCCAAGCGGACACCAGGCAAACAATTACATTGACGTCGGACCGCCGGGAATGTTTTCTTCCCCCCCTATTTGTGGTGCCCCCCATGGATGGATGCACCTTTAGCATTTGCCTATACTGCCTATGCCACGGGCTGGTCCTGGCTGTAGTGAAGCGCTGCAAGTCTTTGACAATAAACTTGTCATGTGACACTCCCATGTCTGTTTCTGTGTTATTCTCCCCCCATTGGACATGGGAGGCTGCACTTAGTACAGAGCATAGACATAAACATAGATATTGAGGGACAACAGTGTAACGCTAACCTTGCTGACAGCAGTCAAACACCTCCTTTACATGCATGTTTTTCCTTGTCAGCTTTGACTGTGGGGATCACATACTGAATCAGAGCATTGAGAGATGAGGCTCAGCATTTAAAATGCTTTGAATGCCTCTATCGCACAAGCAGTGTGCTCATCACCATCCGTCGCTTAACAAGTAAACAGATGGTTTAGGAGATTATCGAAACGTAGGTACTGACCAATTAGGTACAAGTACTAATTTACTATCAGTTCTCGATACCTATCCCTAGTCAGGTGGACAAATTAGTAATTTGTTACACTCAATACTTATTAATTCAAGAGGGATTTTAAAAAAGTGGTTCACATTGATAATTCATTTGAGAGCATGTGTACCGTCTGTAAAAGGTGAAGCATGTAATCAGTGGTGGGCGGCCCATAGGGGTGCCAGGGGCGCCGCCCCGCCTCTTCCAAAATTCTAGATTGTCATTAAAAAATATTTAAATGTTAATAATTGTGTACATTTATTTTGTAATGAACAAGGTACATATTATATAGTTGGTGTCAGTTGAATGTATAATCTGCGATAAAATATAGATAAAATGGTTTTACGATGTCTAAAGTTACTAGGGTTGCCAACTTCCAGAAATGGAGAAACGGGACACATTTAACATTTAATATTTGAAAAATGGTATTAGGTAATGCAAAGTATACATTACATTACATTACATTGCATTTAGCTGACGCTTTTATCCAAAGCGACTTACAATAAGTACATTCGACCAGGAAGACACAACCTTGAAGAAAACAGAATCATATAAGTACATCAGGTTTCATAGAGCCAAACATTTCAAGTGCTACTCAACTGGCTTTAGGTAAGCCAGTCCTTTATTAGTATAAAAGTGCTTCGTTAATAGTTCTAACGCTCGAAGTGGAGTCGAAAGAGATGAGTTTTCAGTTTGCGCCGGAAGATGTGCAAGCTATCTGCCGTCCTGATGCCAATAGGGAGCTCATTCCACCATCTTGGAGCCATGACAGCAAACCCACGTGTTTTCGCCGATGGGAACTTGGGTCCCCCTCGCAGCGAGGGCGCAACGAGTCGTTTGGCTGATGCAGAGCGTAGTGCACACGCTGGGGTGTACGGTTTAACCATGTCCTGGATGTAGGAAGGGCCAGATCCATTCGCAGCATGGTAAGCAAGTACCAGTGTCTTGAAGTGGATTCTAGCAGTTACCGGAAGCCAGTGAAGGGAGCGGAGGAGCGGAGTGGTGTGGGAGAATTTAGGAAGGTTGAAGACCAGACGAGCCGCTGCATTCTGGATGAGCTGCAGAGGTCGGATGGCACATGCAGGTAGACCAGCCAGGAGGGAGTTGCAGTAGTCTAGGCGTGAGATGACGAGAGCCTGGACCAGAACCTGAGTCGCTTTCTGAGTCAGCTGGGGACGTATCATCCTGATGTTGTAAAGCGTGTATCTGCAGCAACGGGTTGTAGCAGCGATGTTTGCAGTGAAGGACAGGTTGTTAGCTAGGGTCACACCCAGATTCCTTGCAGTCTGAGTCGGGGAAACAACTGAGGTACCGATGTTGATGTCAAGAGTGGGACAATCTTTTCCCGGGAGGAAGAGCAGCTCAGTCTTGTCAAGGTTGAGCTTGAGGTGGTGAGCAGACATCCACTGAGAGATGTCAGCTAGACAAGCAGAGATGCGTGCAACGACCTGGGTCTCTGAGCGGGGAAAGGACAGAATTAATTGGGTGTCATCAGCGTAGCAGTAGTAAGAAAAACCATGCGGGCTAATGACTGATCCGAGCGAGTTTGTGTACAGGGAGAAGAGGAGGGGACCAAGAACAGAGCCCTGAGGGACCCCCGTAGTTAATTGACAAGGGTCGGACTCAGACCCTCTCCAAGTCACCCTGTAGGTACGGTCTTTCAGGTATGAGGTGAGGAGGGAAAGTGCAGAGCCTGAAACTCCAAGTTTTTGGAGAGTGCGAAGGAGGATCTGATGATTCACCGTGTCGAATGCAGCAGATACATGATGTGAACATGCACGGTACATCATTATTAGACTTAATGTTATCCTTCAACCAACCATTTTCCCATCAATCAGCTGACTGACTCTCACACACACACACACGGGCTGCATCCACCTCCTCACCTGCTGCGACCTCGGTGGGAGGAGGACACAGCTCTTTTAGAATATCCCGAACAGTTTTGGGGCCAAGCACATTGGCTGTTATCATCTCAGCCTTTGTTCTTCCACATTGCATTTTCTTTGCAGTGTTCGAATCACTAAACATGGCACTTGCCAGCTTATTACTGCAGTCCATGCTGTTATAACTCAAACCATGCTTAACTGTGTGATACACTGGTGTTACCTCACATGCAGCAACTTTGTCTTGTTCTGCAGTTGAACTGCCGAAGAATTTAGTTATATTTGATGCACCTTTATTTTGTGTTGCTCGCTTGTGCATTTCTGTGCCAGCATGCTGTTTCAGGTCGTTTTCTCCACCGTGACCTATTGAAAACTCCCTCCGACACAAGGTGCAGAAGACCCGAGACAGATCTCCACTTTACCCAACTGTGTTTTTCTTCCCACTGTTTGTTGTAAGACACAAGTCTTTTCTTTTTAGAAGGGCCAGGGCCCAGAACCACATCCTCTCTCTCTTCTCCTCTTTCATTATCACCTCCTGAACAGGCTGACATGCCACACAAACAATGATGCCGCGCCCGCGGCCCACCGGAGAAGATCTCACACACACACAAACACACACACACACACACATACCATGTATACATCACTTCAGGGGACATTACATTGACTTACATGCATTTCCTGGAGATTATCCTAACCTTAACCATAACCAACACATGCCTAACCCTAACCCTTACCCTTACCCTAACCCTAATCCTAAACCTAACCAAGTCTTCACCTTAAAATGAATGATCCCCCTCATGGGGACCTCCAATTTGTCCCCATAAGGGAAGCCATTCCCCACACGTGACTATGTAAACAGATGTAGGTCCCCACAAGTATAGTAATGCTAGACCACACACACACACACACACACACACACACACACACACACACACACACACACACACACACACACACACACACACACACGTGCAAGCATTGTGCCTGCCCTGTCAACTGAGCGGTCCTAGCGCCCTTCGCATACAGCACACAAACACACAGCCTAGACCTATGAGCCAGACCTATGAGCCAGACACACTGCATTGCGCGCAAACAGAAAAATATATTTTATTTTTCCCTTTACACGGGAGTCCGGGACAAACCCGTACGGGACACGCCCCTTTTGGCTCAAATACGGGGCGTCCCGGCTAATAGAGAACCGCAGTGACGCGTCCTAAAACCCGGAAGTAAACTTCTTCCGGTTCCTTCGTCAAAAACGCAATGCAATTTCTCCATAGGATTTTGGAAAATAGCTCGAAATAAGGTCTGTGGTTGACACACATTTAAG